TCGGCCGCGCGGGGGGCTCCGCCGCGGCCCCGCCGCTCCCGATCAGGTGCGGTGCGGTGCGGCACGAGGCTCGAGCCTCCAGCATTCGGGTCATTGCGGTTCCCGTTCGGGTCCCCTGTGCTCGGGCCGCCCCTCCTGCGGATCTCCGCCGAGAGGCCTGTGCGGCCGGCCCGAGAGGGGAGGATGGACGGAGCCTTGATCGGTCCCGGGTGCTGGGTGGCTCTGGGGTCTGGATCGCTGTGTGCTGCGATGCGCGTGCCTGGGGAAGGAGGACGGGACGCACATTGCTCCCTCCTGGAAATGTTTTACGCGGGTTATCTTACCCGAAGTAGATCCCCAGGTAACCAACCACCTGATGCCGGTCCTCCCCTATCCCCCTTCAGGCCGTCCTCTTCAAAACCTATGAGAAAACGCTGTGGACATTTGGTAGGGGGTTGGGAGAGGAGGGACGCGCAGCTAAAAGATCGCCCAGAGGAAGGGTTTTAATGTAACACCCCCCCCCCCCCGAATGATTAATTTCTCGTTTTCCAAGATTCTTGAGCATATAGTAATTCTTGTTTAAATTCGTTTTGTAAATGGGCTTCTTGAATGAGTTCTATACCCTTGCAACCTTGCCTTGGGTATTTACCATTGCATCACAACAGGGATTAACATCTGGTTCACTGGTTGTTGTTGCATAATACATACATGTGAACCCTGGAGGGACTTCTAATGGATCCTGATTTGGTGTGCTCTATTTATTTTTTTAAAGCACATCATTGGGTGTATAGGTATTCTGTTCAAACTATATATTGTTCTATGAAGTATTTGCATGATTTTTAGTAACTAATATGAAATAGATTAGGCTCACATATTTATTTATCTACTTTTTTTTTTGGTTTTTCGAGACAGGGTTTTTCAGTGTACCTTTGGAGCCCGTCCTGGAGCTCACTCTGTAGCCCCGGCTGGCCTCGAACTCACAGAGATCAGCCTGCCTCTGCCTCCCGAGTGCTGGGATTAAAGGCGTGTGCCACCGCCACCGCCCGGCACTATTTATCTACTTTCAACTGTTGCTTCTTTAGAATAGGGGAGAAAGGAACCTGAGAGGAGTTCATTAGTCATAAATCTTCAGTACAAATGATAGTAAAACGAGTCCGGCATGTATAGAAATGGAGTGGCTGTCATTAGTGGATTCCTCTTGAAATTTGTGAAGAGGATCAGTTTGGTGAACCTAGATATAACCTATGTGAGTCTCCTGCCACACCAGTGATCATAAATCAAACTTGTACCTGTGTATTTTTTGGTTTTGAAAGATTTCTAGTTATTTTGATATTTGAAGTTGACTCCAAATAGCTGTAGTGGTTTCCATCCTTTAGTATACCGTGCATCCAATGAAGGGCTTGACTCTTCATCCAGTGAAGGGCTTGACTCTTCATCCAGTGAAGAAGACTTGACTCTTCATCCAGTGAAGGGCTTGACTCTTCATCCAGTGAAGAAGACTTGACTCTTCATCCAGT